CTTTTCCTCTCCTTATCAATGCTGCGAGTTGCCTCTCGAAATTGCTCTGCCGTCATTAACACCGCGGATTAGGTCAGACGAGCGTGTGTGTGCAGTCTTAGATGGCAAAGGCAAAGCGCTGATGCTGATTATTCTAGATCTTCTGGGCATGGCCCATTCCGTGCTCACAGTTCTTAATCAGAGGGACGCGCGTTGGTTACGTGGCCGGGTGGGCCAGGGCCATGGCTGGTTCTGATGTGGCTGCCAGGCCCAGACAACACGTCTGCAGCACCTGCCGGCCTGCTGGCATCACAAGTGACCTCAGTAGAAGAAATGGCCCATCGGATGGCATGCCTGCTGGCTGCTTTTGAACCATCAGCAATTCATTTGAGGAAGGACTATGAGCATTTTGCCCTGGACCTGAACACCAAGTTTTCTGTTCTGGGGCTCACTCTGTTGGCCATGTGGCTGAGGGGTATCTTCCAGACCACCACTCCTGAAGTGCTCCCTTCTGAAAAGCTTCTGGAGGAGGAGGAGGAGACCAAGATCTGTGGCCTTGCATCATGGCCCCCCACCTCCTGGCCTCCTGTTCTACCTCCACCACCTTCACCCTAGGCTCCAGCCACACCGCGGTCTCCCTCCGGCCCTTGATCACGCTGGTTCCCTGCCAGGAGTGCCCGCTTAGCTTTGTCCTGCAGGCAGAAGCTCGTCATCTGTGGCAGCTGCTGTCCCGGCGATGCCCTGACCTTTACCACTTCAGTATGTTCCAGCCCCACATCCGGATGCCAGCACCTGCATTTCTTTGCCTGGAGCTTTCTCTGGCCTCTGGAACCTGCATGTGCCACTCTGTGCTGGGCAGGCCAGAAGTGCCAGGGAATTCCCCCTCTCCCCCCAAACAGGAACCCCCAGCCACTGACAAAAGTTGGTGTATACACACCCCTGCTCTCTCACCCCTGCAGCGGGCTAATTCCAAGGCGTATTCTGCCAGAGCTTTTCAGTGCAAATGAGCCCTAGCTGCCCAGTGATAACCGGCTTGAGAAACCACCCAGGATTGCCCACTTACCTGTCTTACTTCCGTGCTCCCCACAGCGTTTTCCTTCGTCTCCCAAATAAACTACTCACATTCAAATCTTTCTCTCCGGGTCTGCTTCTAGAGGAACCAAACAGACATCATCTTCAATGCCCTTCTCAAGATCACCTCCTTTTTGCAGCTTCCCCTGACCCTCCCTTGTTTCCACTTTTGAGGCAAAACTATTGGCCATTCTTTGCTTTTAAAATGTTTATTTTTGGGGGG